ATGACGAGACCTTCCGTCACCGTCCTATGAGCTCGGAAATGCAGCCGCTGACCCCCGTTCCTCCTCCTCGACCCCCAATTCATGCCTGACGAGGCCGAGAGTGCAGCTGGATCACAGTGAAAGATGTGGAGGGCTGCAATCTGCGTCACTGCGGCTCTCTCGTGGGCGGGGGTTCACTCAGTGCCTGCCCCTACGGCTACCCCTTTCCCCGTGGTCGGCGTCAAAGCAGGCATCAACAAAAACACAGGACAGGCGCCGGCAAGGCTCAACATCAACACGCTATGGGCACGGCGAGGGCCGCAGTGGTAACGCCCGCCGCAGCAGCCTGACGCAAGTCTCTCGCTGATTTGCTCACAGGGACCTCTACATCCTCGCCTTGTCCGAACTCAAGGCCATGAACGAGACCGATGAGCTTTCTTACTATGGGATCACAGGTATTGATGCATACCTCTTGCATCAGTATTGCCCCAACCGGTTAATCTTCTACTAACGGCCGATGAGGAATTCATGGATTCCCTCACAGTGCGTGGAACGGTGTCGGCCACGTAGATGGTGCCCCTATCACGGGTTTCTGCCCTCACGGCGTATGTGTGACTACCTAACTTGCCGCCCCCTGACGGCCGTCAGCTGATTATCCACATCAAGGACCTCCTGTTCGTTACCTGGCACCGGCCATACGTGGCGCTCTTTGAGGTTCGGGGATCTCCCTGGCACTTGACTGGATCATCGAACTAAAGTCCTTGCAGCAAGTACTGGTCTCTCATGCAGTGAGAATTGCGGCCGAGTACCCTCCAGACCTTCAGCCCGAATATGTGGCCGCGGCTCAGACTCTACGGCAGCCTTACTGGGACTGGGCATCAGATCCCACCCTGCCCCCCGCTGCCTACGCCGTCAATGTCACCGTGAGATCCCCGTGCGGCGTGATAGAAATCGCCAATCCCTTGTGCGGTTATCGTTTCCAGCAGGTACCGGTCGAGTCGAGTTTCGGCGGCTTCCTCGCCACTTACCCCCAAACAATCAGGTGCCTCGGCGAGGGATGCATGCTAAGCAACATCACGGCGTCCAACAAGGCAATGAGCTTGGCAGCAGAGGATCTGACCAGTGACATTGTATGTCACCCATCGAGGAATCGCCCGGAGACGGTGGACGAACCCTCCGCGTTGCCTTGTGAGCATTTGAGCGGCGGCTAACGAGGGATAGTATGATGTCTTCGCCAGGGCAAAGACATTTGACAGCTCTGGCTGGCGTGTTTCGAGTCTCGAGTTCCCCCACAATCTGGTTCATGCACTGTCGGTATGCAATGGGACCTTTTCAGACATCAACTGGTCGGCTTTCGACCCCTTGTTGTATGTTGTTCGTCCCCCACCCCGAAAGCCTCCACGCTGACAGAAGCAGCATGTTGCACCACTGCAACGTTGACCGGCTCGTCGCGATGTGGCAAGTAATTCATTACGAAGAGGACATGCCCACCGTCGCAGCAAACACGACCGGCCAGTACGCAAACCCCAAGGGCATTGTCACGGCGGACAGCCCCCTGAAGCCCTTCTTCGATGAGGACATGAACTTCCACACCAGCAAGTCTGTCGCGAACATTACCACCTTCGGATACACATACCCAGAAATGCCCGACTGGAAGATGCCGCCGGAAGCGCGCGCCAGTCACGTCAGGGCACATGTAAACTCGCTGTACAGCGGAGGGGACAACGGCGTTGGCCAGACACGGGCTCTGGACCAAGCCGGGCGTCCGGAGCCCAAGCACTACTACACGGCCGAGATTGTCGTCGACAGAAGCGAGATGCCCCTTCCAGCGCTGCTGCGGCTCGTGGTTGGCCGGACCGTCGTTGGGCGCCTGTCGTTGCTCGCCATGCCCCGTGACGGCACAGCCTCGGTCAGCCTGCCGCTTCAGGACGTACGCATTGGGGGGAAGAGCATGCGGGATTTGTCTCCGGCAAGGGTGGTCTTGTTCCTTCAGCAGGAGTTGACCACCGAGATACGAACGGTACGTCTCCCTGCTACACACCGCTCCGTCACGCGCTTGAGGCGGAAAGCGGGCGCAGCTGGCGGTTTAGCCCCCCCACTTACACCGATCACAGAGTGACGGCGTCGAGGTACCGGCCACCATGGTACCCAGCCTGCAGCTCCAGGTCCAGAACGTGGAGTACATACCCCGTGTTAATGACTCGAGCTTTCCCGTCTTTGGGAAGGCAAAGAGATGGCCGGTCGAGGTGCGCCAACGCCAGCGCCAGCGGTGATGGTGGTGTTGTCAGGCGTCAATTCCCTTGCTGTTGTGTTACCGCATGCCGGTCTTGTGTTCTTAATGCGCCTGTCTGGAAAGGGGAATGCCTCCCTCCGGGTTGGTCCATGCCCTGGGGTGTGCTGTGTAACGGTGGGCGGCTCACACCATCAGAAAACGGCTGGATGGCTGGCTGAGGGAGGGGTTTAGCCACGGGTTGTAAAAGTGGCGTGATGGCGAGTGACTCTTTTTGTCTGCGGCCCTTGTTGTTGTGAGATGTGTTGGTTGGATTTGTCATGGGACGGGAGAGCAGAAAAGGGGGGAGGGCATAATAATACCTAAGGACTGGGGGCGAGTCACCATAACCCCCACGGTTGCCTTGCGAGAGCCTCGATATTATAGTTTGCTATGACTAGATGGGTTACCTGATGCTTCGGACCTTGGTGGTCATCTGTACTTGTGTTGGCGTAGGGCTGCGACGTAATGCTCACCGCCTGGAAGGGCTGGGTGCCTTGTTTGAACCTTGTCTTGGGTGCGAATGGAAACATGGATGCTGGATGACGGGTGTTGTATGATTCCTGGGACACCCGGGTCTGATCTAAGGGGCGACCCAAACATCTCGAGGCATGTAGCCATTCTCCTCGGCCCCTTGAATCCCATTAACTCGACTCATTTACGTGCCCCGGAGTACATTCTGCTCCCATCAACCCCCTGACACAGCCTTTCCATGCTCTTACAGCACTATACCAGTCACAATAATCTTTTTCACAGACACACAATGCTATCCCAACTCAGAAGCAAAACAGAACTGCTGAAACGTGCGAGCAAATACAGCGCAGCATAAGTAAGCATGCCCCTCACCCTCAGCATAAGTAGATTTGTTAGCAGTCGGCAAAGGGGAAACAGCCTCGTGCCCGAAGCGGTGCACACACTGTCCTGTGATATTTAGACCATCGTCGGGAATCACGCTTATCCCAACGTAGAGTGTCTGTTTGCTGGGTAAGGCAGTCAACGTCCACCGGACGATGTACTGTAAGTGAGAACTACCAGCCTCTGGGAGTGATAGCCACTGAATAGTAGTAATACGCTCCTGGGCGGCAGGTGGACGAAAGGGGGTAGGGATTACGAGGATTGGAGTAGGAAGATGGGAGTGCGGTGATGGATAGGATAGATTCCGCCCCATTAGACAAAACTCACGACTAGCCGAGTATTCAGGGACACAGGGCACACCAAGAACGAAGCCTGTGTTTACTATTATTAGCAACCTGGGAACTAGCGTCACGGGTGAGACGAGACCGTCACAGTTGAAGGCCGGAACTTGCAGGGTTGGCCCGAGACTCAAGAGTTGCCAGTTAACTGACTGCTCCTGAGCTGTGTTGTTGACGCGGTCTGCAGATTAAATTATGCCTGTTATCCCGGCCCGCTAATAGCGTTTCGTGGTTTGTGCTGCTCCTTGAAGGTGTGAAGGCGATGACATCCATCTCCGGGCAAGCCTTTGAAAGTGAAGGAGAGGACACACATTGAGTATTGTTGGAAGAAGCCACCATGTCGTGCGGGATAGGGAGCTTGTAAACAACGTAATCATCACTGCGGTGCCGTGCTGCTCTCGCCCCTGTCATGAACATTCTGTTGTCTCGGATGTTACGCCCACGAACCCAGGCTAATACACCCAGTACTCGGCATCGTAAACGCCAGTTCTGGACCTATCCCCGCCACCTTGGCGGCGTTGCCGCATGATAGAGGTGTGAACAACCAAGGCCGGGGAGATGAGACATAGAAGCGGTGAAGGACAAGCATTTCCCCAAACTGAAATTCAACCAAGACCTAAGCCATCAATGACAAGTTGACAGCTAGAAGCGGAGGTGCAACCAGCCAGAACCACCGGGTTCACGATATCTGGCGGGACCAGCAAACCCTCCTAGCTCTTCCGAGCCTCATCAGCGTCGGGTGAGAGAAACCGGGGAATGGATAGGTAGGTAAAGGAAAGCCACAAGGAAGAACTGAAGCCACCGGCGCCATTACCAACCCCGCCTCCAAGATCCGGAGGTTGGCATCACCCGGACGAATCAGACGGGCCGCAGATGGACGTTTCGGGTAAGTCTCGCCGGCATCGGGCCGTGCCAAGCCGGAGCGCCGGAACTGGGCCGGGGGGTAGCTTCGGGGTTGGTTCCGGTCTGTGGCAGGGTTCGGGAAGTCACCGGTTAGGTGATGATTCGTCTGCGTGTGTGTTTTTGATGGCTCTCGCGGCTCTCATGATTCACGAGGTATGAGATGGCCATTAGCGGGTGTATGGGTTCGGCGAGGGGAAGAAAAATAGGGTGGGCCTTTTGAGATGTCGCGGGTGCTTGCTGTTGCCAGCGGATACGTGCCGATCTCTAGACGCCGAGTTGCAGAAGATGGGCAAGAGAGCAAGCCGTAACTCCTCGTAGTGGTAGGGCCTAGATCCCGACTTGTTCTGGCAGGTTGAGTCTCCGAAACAGTGTGTTCGGCAAGTAGCAGATGTCTCGGACTGCGGAAGTGTCTAGTTTCACTACCTAACTATGGCCAGGCTGTCATAGGAAACGGCAACAACCCGTGTCCTTGACATACTGTAGACTTTCACTGGGGAGTAATTAGCTAGGCGGGAAGCACGTCTTGCGAGAAGGGGCTGGTGTTCTCCGGCTGATGTGCTCCGGCTGGAGCGTTGCCAAGAGGGCGCGACTTGATAGACTGTGGAGTCGGGCTCGCTGCCAACCAACCAGCTACGGTGGATGATCACATCCACAAGTCTTCCGTAGTATAGTGGTCAGTATGTGAGCTTGTCAATGAAGGCAAGTCCATCATAACAACGCTCGAGACCCGGGTTCAATTCCCGGCGGGAGAGACCTTTACTTTTGCCGTTTCTGTGTCATCCCCTGGATGTCTTCACTTTTGTCAAGTCGGGGCCGACTGATCGAGCGACCAACCAACCAACCAACCAACCAGCCAGCGCACCTGCTGCCGAAACGCGACGAGACGGGCCGAAACAGAGCCCTTCCCTTCATTTACGAGGCTGCAAGGTTCTTGTGCAGAAGGACGTTTTAAATGACGGGTCTCGATCCTTTGACTCATCAACCGGGGAGCGCGAGACAGAGACAAACTAACGTTCTCGTCGGTCAGACGGCGCATGTTTGCTGGTGATCGTCATTGCCGTCCGGGGACGGCCGCCACCAACACCCCAGCACCCCAGTCGGTCGCCGCAGGGCTGAGGAGATCCGGGGGAACCGAGCCGAGCAGCAAAAAAGGTGCTGGGTTCAGCGGGTTGAGTTGTGACCAAGATAGCAACGGCATTTGGCATTTCTGACGAATGATGGCGTAAAAGCTCACAAATGCCGAATCCGAGTTTCGCTCGAGATCTCGCCTGCTTTTTTGCCTTTTCCTTCACTGCCACGATGCATTGATGGATGGTTGGATCGATACGAGACGAACGCCCTTTCACCCCACTCTCACCCGTTGCTGACTGTGCAACCCGACACGCCGCCGCCGTGACTGGGGAATCTGGCCAGGCCGAGGGGGGCTTGGACGGTGAGACATTCAATGCTCAGAACTCGGATTTGTTTGATTGATGGAACGTTGCCACGACGAACTTTTTCTCTCCTGACGGTCTGCTGGCGAGGTTTCGTCGGCGCGAGCCTTCCCGTTCGTTCCTTTGCGACATGCGCAGAGAGAAGGAGGGAGGTGAAACCGGAAACCGAACGGAGATCTTGAAACGTCGCTACCGGTGAGGTGAGGCCTTTGCTTGTTTGGATTGCTCAATATCGAAAGGGGGCATCCTGCCTCGTTGAGAAATGCCCCGACGAACGAACGTGATGGGAGGATTTCGAGGGGGGATTTTAATTCTTGGCTGGAGCGGTCTCCTGTTTCAGGGGCTCGAGGGGAAACGGCAACGGTAAGCGGGCATTTGCCCAGTGCTTTCGCGTGCCCGCCGAGCCGTTTCGGTGGCTGGCAAGGTCCCTCCATCGCAGCCCGGGGCTGGGCGTTGCAGCTGGCGGCCGGCCGGCCTCCCTCGCTGCGGACAGATTGTCGGATTTGCGTGATCCTCGACGGTTTCCAGGTCGCGCACACGCGGGGCAACCGCGGATCAGCGGCAGGGCTCAGGGGCGTTTTCTTTGTCGGGATTGGCCAAGGCGGGACCCCTTTTTCCGCGCTGGAGCCGCCTTTGTGCGATGGACAGCCGTGAGATCATGGATGACACCAGACGGTTGTTCTTTGACTGCCGTCGACGTCGATCGAAGCATCATGGACTGCCAACTCAACTCGCGAGTGTTGGGTCCAGGCCCACGGGTGCCGTGAATCCCCGTCAGGCCGGTCTCCACATTGACGTTTTGGAAAGCAATCCGAGGGGCAGGACGGGGGAAATGAGGCCAAGCCAGCGCCAGCGCCAGCGCTTGGCTCGATGCAGCTGCCAGTCGACTCTCAACTGCCGCTTCGGTGTCATGCCACGCACACACACGTGGAGCGCTGAATCGGGACGGTAGGTAAAAATAGTTACACGAGCGACGGCAGCGCACAGCATCAGGCCTCGGGATCTGACCGACCATATCACGATCTGGTCGTTGCCCGGGGACTCGGTGCGGTGTTCAGGCCACACACGGCTGTCGGCAACGCTTCGTATTACTCCGGCATTATTGGCCGCCAATGCATCGCCGTCGAAATTTCAAAGTGGCTCATTCACAACGCCCCACCTGCGGCTAGGGTCCATTTTGGCATGCGCGGCATGACAAGCAAAGCCAGCCACCCCTGCGTGGCCAGGGTCGGCTGGGCAGCTGCGCGCCGGCTGATTGGCCAGGCAGGCACGGTCGCCTGGCCCTTTTGGCGGCTCTGGCAGGTGACATGGCTGGATTTGGTGGATTTTCGGACGAGGCAGGCGGGCGGCAGGCCTGGGCTTCCCTGGGCGGCCCCAGAAGCATCCAGGGGGACGCCTCGGGGGCTCAGGGGGGTTGCAGGGGGCGTCAACACGAGCACCGAGCGAGCCCTGCCCAGTGCCCAGCCCTGGCGCCATGGGGCATGGGCCGAAGGGGCAACCGACTTTTGATTGAAAGCGTGATGGGGCCCAGATCTGGGAGCGCTGTTGATCTCGCTCCTCTTTTTCCCTGTCCATTATCTCATCACCTACAGCCCGACCAGCCCGGAATCCGTGGCGTTCAATCGCTTCTTCAGTCTCTCGTTCACTGCCTCGCTGGCACTTTTTCTCTCTTAATAGTTACTCTCGCTCGCCTCCTTAATAAACCCGCAGATCCCACTCCGTAGATCAATCAACACCCCCAACCATACCTATCCAGAAACACATCCAAGATGCTCTCCAAGATCTTCACCACGGTGGCCCTTGCGGCCTCGCTGGTCTCTGCGCAGACCTTCACCGAGTGCGACCCCACCAAGCGTGGTGAGTAGTTATCCGCGTGGCTTTTTTTTTGGCGGGTTTCCGGTTCCAGTGCTGACATGACCGCGCAGATGGCTGCCCCAACCCCAAGGCCGTCGGATCCAAGGTCGTCGACATCGACTTCCGCAAGGGCGCCAACAGCTTCTTCAAGCTCGCCGATGGCACCAGCCTCGACTACGACAAAAGCCTCGGCGCCGTCTTCTCCATCAAGTCCGAGGGCAATGCCCCCACCATCATGTCGAGCAAGTACATCTTCTTCGGCCAGGTCGACGTGACGGTGCGCGCGGCCCGCGGCGTGGGCGTCGTGACCAGCTTCGTGCTGCAGTCGGACGACCTCGACGAGATCGACTGGGAGTGGCTCGGCGGCGACGCCGTCCAGGTCCAGACCAACTACTTCAGCAAGGGCTGCACCGAGGTGTACGACCGTGGCGGCTTCTCGCCCGTCGCCGACCCCATCAACCAGTTCCACACCTACACCATCAAGTGGACCAAGGACCAGCTCGACTGGATCATCGACGGCGCCGTCGTCCGCACCCTGAAGAACACGGGCGTCGAAGGCTGCTCCGGCTTCCCGCAGTCGCCCATGCAAATCAAGCTCGGCACCTGGGTCGCCGGCAACCCGGACGCCCCCCCGGGAACCATCGAGTGGGCCGGCGGCCTCACCAACTTCGCCGACGCTCCCTTCGACGGCTACTACCAGAGCCTGCGCATCCAGGACTACATGGGCGGCAACGGCGCTAAGGAGGCCACCGAGTACCAGTACTCGGACCGCACCGGCAAGTGGCAGAGCATCAAGGTGGTCAACAACGGCGAGGAGGCCGACACCAGCAGCAGCAGCAGCTCCACCACCTCCAAGGCCACCTCGACCTCCAAGTCCGCCTCGTCGTCGGTCACCACCCTCGCGACTGTGAGCTCGTCGGCCTCGCACAGCAGCAGCAACCACACCACCGCGGCCAGCACCACCCCGACCGGCACCACGGGCAACCAGGCCTCGGCCACCGGCACCGCCACCCAGACCATGTCGACCGGCGCCGCCCCGACCATGGCCGGCAACATGGCCGCCGTCGGCGCTGCCGCCCTCTTCGGCTACCTCGTCCTCTAAGCGTCTTTTGATGCTCTTGCGGGAAAAGAATAGCCGTTGGCCGTCGCGTGTTGGACCTCTTGCCGTCTCTTGCTTCTCGGACCGGTGCAATATTTTGCAGCTTCGCCACGCTCCCTTCTTTGTTTTTAGTTTTTTCTCGGTTTCAGCCTTCGGCTCGCCCCGGGGTTAAAAAAATAGAGAGAAACGAAACACATTTTTATACCATGTTTACCATTCTTTTTAATGCCGGTCTCTGGGATGGGAGAGAGGGGAAGGACGGACGGATAGACGAACGGTCAACGTCACGCGGTGCTTTGCATGGCTTTTCTTTTCCCACTACGCACAGACGGGACGGGTTCAATTGAAGACAACAACAAAGACAATGGGTTTTCATGCATGCATGGGGAACTGGCGGTGGCCCAAGCTGCTAAGCGTAGGGGCCCTGTACATAATGGTGGTACGCCAGGACAAGTCTTGTACATGGGGGATGGTGACGAATGAGGTTTTATGAGCGGTTGGTTAAGTTGGATGAGCGGTGGTTTTGGTTGTGTCTTGCCTCGTTTTTGGAATGGAGCGTTTGAGTTTCGAAGGAGGGATGGCATCTTTGATACCTGACTGATACCTTGGAAGTGGTTCATTGAATTTTTTTGACTTGGCTTGACTTGCGGGTGTGTGTGTCAGCGGTGCGTTTTTCATCATACTGGGCTAGACTTGGTAGACTGTACTCCTGTGTGTACGTACTAGACAGCGTAGAAGGCTAGATGATATATTGCGCGGTTGTTTTGGATTGGTGTTCTGGTTGTCTCTGATGTTTGATGTGTTGTGTGCTAGAGGTTCGTGGTCGTGGTTCTGGGTGTTGTGGTGTTGCGAGATGCCGGTGCCGAGCGATGATGTCGATTTCCATTGATTGATGGCAGGCGATTCATTCTGAGGATTTTATCGGTGGCTATGAGTTCCCACGCGTTCTGTCATCCTGTTCGTAAATGCTACTACTCTGTGGTCAGCGGGGAGGTGTGTTCAACGTGAGTAAACAAACACACAAGACGTAAACGTTGGCATCCTCCACTGCTCGAGTCCGAGCTGGGGATTCGGCGAAGAGCAAGGAATCACTTGCTCACAATGGTGTCAGTACAGTCTCAGTTTCTTTGCATCAGAGAGGGCACGGTCCGGTAGTCATCGATCATCCTGCGGGGCAGTTAACAGCTATTTGCTGCCTGCGCTGCCTAAATCCCATTTCCCCGACAAAAAAACCCATGCCTCGCCACACCTCATTCATCACGCGGTCCGCGAGGTCATTCTTCTCCCTTCCACCGAAACCAACGACAATGGCGCCGAATCCCGACTACAACAACCTCGCGGCCTTCCACGCCAAGCTCGCCCGGAG